ATGTTCTTAATGACTGGACACTTAACTAACTTATAAAAGTTAGGGCTGTTATCCTTGAACTGTGGTGACCAAGGCAGGTAATTTTGTTGCTGTGGTGGGATGGCACAAGTGATGTTGTCTAGGCTTGGCTTTAAGTCCAACATACAAACACTACAAAACAGCCTTACACCTGCATGAAAAGCCACCCAGCCAAACTAAATATATGGCAAAGCACAGGACACCAACACTGGAGCCTCCTGCAGACACTGCAGTTCTTCAGGCCTTACACAGGTCGAGTTTTCTGCCCAAGAATTTCCCTCCTGGTGCACCAGGAAGCAGCAGCCCAGCAGAAACAGCAAGCAGGTCATTTCTTGGCCAACGTGGATCTTCAGGAGAAACACGAGAGGAAAAATACTGGCTTTTGAAAGCAGTTGAAGACTTTCATGGTGACAGAAACGCACAGAAGACTGCAGAAGAACACAGTACAGGTGTGGCTGAACAGTATTTGGTAAAACTGGGAATGGAAAGGTGTGACTGGCACAATAAAACGTGGTTTCTCTTCAGCAGGGAGGAAGGGAGAGAGAAATTCATGCATTCCAGAAGGTAAACAGGGAATGATCCTTTGCCGCCTTTGCCTCCTGCTGCTCCTGTAATGCAAGAGCACGGGGAACATCTGTTGACACTTGCAGGTAGCACAGACAAGATGAACAGCAGATTAGTCTGTGGAAGAAAAATCCATCAAAGATGGATGAAAATATAAAGCTTATCAATTGCACTGCTTCAGGAAGTCCTTAAATTGTGTAGGGTTTCTCAGAGAAGCACCCCTGTTTGGGTTAGAAGGGACATTTAAGATCATCGAGTTTCAACCCCCAATGTGACCACACTTAATGTTTTTAAGAATTTTAACTGTCAGAATCAAGGGGCAGGCAGTGAAAATGTTATCACTACCGACACACCTGGCACTTCCCTCTGGGAGAGAACAGGCACAAAGGCATCTCTCGGAAAATAATAACACTTTATTTGATTTTTTTTGTTTGTTTGTTTGTTACATTATCATAAATGTTCTCTAGTCTCAGAAAACAAAGCCCTAGTTTGGAAAATAATGCACATACAAATCTCTTCTTACAGGTATTAAGTATACAGAAATATACAAAGATTTCTCTATTACTGTGATACATCATCAGAATGCCCCACATCCCACATTTTTTACTCAGGTCCACTGTACCGGTAAAGCGTAAACTACAAAGGTAACAAGCAACCTGAAAAAGACATGGTTTATATAATATAATTACATATATGTATATATATATATCTACAACAGTGCAAATATATCACAGCGTGCAGGCAGCGATAGTCTCTAGAGAAGCATAATAAAATTGATTCATAGTAATGCAAATGCATTACAGAAACAAGAGACAACAATGACACATTAGATATACAGAATATGCACACTTTAGCACGCTGATTTAAAATCATACCTTGCATTGACTCTTGCTTTGAAAACAAAAGAACCAAATGTTAAATAATTCAGTAACAGATTCAAGGGCAGTATCTCACAATAAGGTCAACTGACTCAGATAAGGTGTTTGACAAATCTTTACTGACACAGGTAAAGGCTTGGTTCCACTGCAGGATTTGTTGTCTTCTTTTTAGATATATCAGTGTAATCTTCTTAGATTTAATTTATTTTTACTGTAATTTAGGAGCATTTTTTACATATTTTTAAAAAATTGTTCAACAACTAATTCACATTTTTAAAGATTGGTACAATTATCACTGAGGTCAGGAAAGCTGGTTGTTGGAAGCAATAGAAAGGAGTTTGTGTCATGATTACCCTCAATGGGCTACTAAAATAAGCTACAATGGGGTCAGGAAAAAAAGACATCACAGATGCCACTGAAGTAGAAAACCGCATCAACATTAGAAGTAAAAACTTCCTTGTTGCCTTACAATCTGCTTAGAAAGACATTTTAAGGTGGTTTTTTTTCTCCTTCTTGAAACAGTAAAGCAAACCCAGAGATCCAGCACATTGGGTATTTGGTAGCTTAAAGAAGTCTAAGAGTCATCCCTCCACCTCTAACTATCCCACATGGTTCCCAAGCAGCTCATTTTCCCACCCTCACGTGGACAGCAACCACAAATACCCAGCAGTAAGGACACAAGCAGTTGGTAGGCATGGGCTGAGCTGCATGAAAGTCCCCAGAAAGGAAATGGGTTGACAAAAACTTGTTTGGATTTTGAAGGCATAAACAACGCAGAGAAGAACGCAGGCTGAGCCATGGGCATGTCTTGTGCCAAAGGAGACACATTTTGACTGGTCACCCTCTGTTTTACTGTGCTGGCAACAGGTCTCAACAGAAATCTAAACCTCTTAAAGGAAAGTTCTACAGTTGACAGCTGCATAAGATCATCGTTCATCTTAAGACTCCAAAGTAACAAGAACACTGAAGGTACATTTTGTGCTATTACTCCTTCAGAAACGCTACTTGAAGAATGTACAGAAACAAAGTATTAAACAGAATTAAAATGAAACTTGCTGTGCTTGCACGCCCAATGTGCAACTTTTGGACTTGTAGTATGAAGAATGACACGTGGGGCTATAAAAATCACTCAGTGGGATACACTACAACAACCTCTTGTATTATGAAAATGGGTACTTAAGAGGAGAACAGCAGGAGGTGATCCCTGAAAATTCTACTGCCCCTGTCCACTAATAGCAGAGCTGATGACTAACTTCAGTGACACTCAGCACTTAATTTACGCACTCACTAGTGCTGTGTGGCAGTGTCACAGGCACCACGATGATCAGCCTGTCACAAACTGTTACAGAGGACATGACACGGTGTCATTTGCTGCCCACTTCTAGTTCCCAACAGCTTTTCACGTGATTATACTTTATAAATGCATCTCCACACAGAACTAAAGGAAAGAAATTCCTGAGCAATTGCACCCTGTCGGGCTGTTCTGGTAAGAAAATGGCATCCAGTAAAGGATGGAGATTCTCCTTAGTGCTGTATCTACAGAAACATTTTCCACTGACTTTTACAGCAGGAGCCAGATTCAGTTCTATTTGGGGTTTGGCCCTTTTAACTTCTCCCTGTGTAACCTCACAACATCCTTGCAGTCCTCCTGAGTTGCCTGACCCTTCTTCCAAAGGTGATACACTCTTATTTTGTTCCTTGAGTTCCAGCCAAAGCTCTCTGCTCAACCAGGCTGGTCTTCTTCTCCGCCGGCTTGTCTTTTGGATTTCCTTCTTAAGAACCTCCAGCCTCCCTGGACATCTCTGCCCTTCAGGATGGCCTCCCAAGAGACTCTGCCAACCAGGTTCCCAAACAGGCCAAAGGCTGCCCTCAGAAGTCCAAGGCAGCAGTTCTGCTGATCCCCCTCCTTATTTCCCCAAGAACCAAAAACTCTGTCATTTCATGATGTGCCCAAGACAACCTCCAGCCATCACGTCACCCACCAGTCCTTCTCTGCTCAGATCACCAGACTTCTTATAGAGTATTTCACCTGCCTCTTCACCCTGCTTGGGTGGTCTGTAACAGACTCCCTCCCTATTTACCTGTAAATAGGACAGGTAAGATCTCCTCTGTGAGGATCACTGGGGTGACACAGGTCAGTATATGCCACACTTCTTTCCAGAAAAAGTGTTTTGTAAAACACTAATTTCTGTTGACAACACAGGCTTTGACACAAAAGCATCACCTGATACATCCAGTACTTGGACTCAAGTGTTCATTATCTCCCACTTACATAACCAGTTCTTCTATTACATGGCTACATATTCCTCTCTTTTAACAAAAATCAATAACTTGGGCTCCAAATTCTAAGAACTGAAGAGCTTTTCAGCACCAGTCTTCTGTTACTCCCTTTGACCTATAAAGATGAAATTTTCTCAATTTCTTACAGGTAGAATCTGCTTTCCAAATCTTTTATTTAATTGTAAATAATAATGTTTCAAATAATTTTTAAAATCTTCCAGGGTGTTTCATATTATACGCAAGTTTTCCATAAAGAAAAAACAACAAAAAGAATATGAAGCACCTAAAGTCTTAACTGATGCACATAGTAACCAAAGCAACATGTCAAAACAAGTAAAAATATAATAAGGAGGCCAACAGGACACTAGAGTCTTCCTGCAATCCAAACAGAAATCATACATTCAGTCTTCAAGTGACCTTTAGAAACCTTTAGCCTCTTATGCAACTTTTAGTCAGACTGTGACTGATTCAAATGGTAAAAATGGCATTGATTTCAAACTGTTTATGGCTCTTTATACATGGTTATACAAATTGAGGATTTGAAGACTTCAGAACCTTGCTGGCCTTATTATTCTTCCACGTGAAGCCTCCAGAGCTTCACAATGTGCTGTTTAACACAACAGCACATGAATGCTCAGCTTTGAATGAACAGGAATGCATTTTATACCAGCCTGCTAGAATTTATTTCCACATGAAGAGAAAAAAGCCAGCCTGAGACTATGTTAAAAATCTTTGCAGTATATGAAAACATAATTGGGATGGATTTTAAATACTTCTGCCCCGCAGTAGCGACAAAAGAGAGATCATTAGTTAATTTGCAGGCTAAGGAGGGAAAGAACAATTACCTCATCTATGAGTACCACTGAGTTCCCAGAGAATTATTTCTTTACTGGGATACTACAGTCTGAAAGTGTTCCTTAGAATAGTAACTTCCAGCTAAGTGCTGTCAGCAGATGGCTGGGAAAAAGCATATCTAACAAAAAAAAGGAGTGACAAAAAATATTCCAGAGCCTGCATTTTCTTATTAGGAACACCCACCAGGACCAGACTTTTGGCTACCATAACACATACAAAGTTACAGTACAGGAGGACATGTTGCAGGCTGAAGAGGTAAGATAAGAAGGTCAACAGACAGAGGAACAGGCACAGATAACAAGACAGCATCCAGGGAACTCGTACTGCTAAACTGGTCTGGATGGGAGAAAACAGCATCGTGTAAGTCACCGGTGTCGGGATGGTCAGCAAAGTGACCTCCTGCAAGGGATTTTCAGTGTGGTATTTGGTAAATGGTGCTGGTAAACACAACACATGAGCCCTGAAGGTGTTCAATGCCCTGGATGTCACACTCTCTCACACTCAGCCAGCCTGCAGCTGGACCAGCGGGTGTGCAACCAAAGAGTCATTTGGCAAATGTATTCTTTTGTCTGCCTGCAAACAGTGTTTGAACTGCCTGTAAAATATTCACAAATACTTTGAGAGTCTTGAAATAGTCAAGGCATGTTGTGCTGAGGGATTTCAGACTTGTGAATTATTTACAAACTGTTCACAGTTATGAGTATTATTTAGAATAGCTAAAATTCTTAATTTCTCAAATCTGACAGCCATACAGGTCCATACCTGCTTGTGATTATGCCTGGAAAAGCTGCAGAGCTGTACGAAAGATTTTGGAGAAAAAACAGCAACAAAAATTATGCAAAGAGGCTGTGAAAGGATTTTGGTTTTCTTCTACACTGAAGATTGACCTTGCTTTCAAAGGCCAATCTTACTTTCAGGGAAGGTTCAGCTAACCTTCCCAAAATATGTGACTCGATTTAAAGTCTTCCAGAACACAGGTTTAATTCAAATGTCCTGAGTTTAACAGATATACTTGGTCTGTATTGGTAAATTAAACAGAGCCTGGGCACAGGCCAGGAAAACTGGGAAACAATGGCAGAGCTGCAGCCCAGCACAGCCAGAGCTTTTCCAGACAATGGCTCTGTTTAGAAGTCAGTACAGGGACCATTCCTATCAGCCCCAGTCATTTGAGGACTAACAGAGCTGGCCCTGGCACTATTTGTTTCGCTAGTATAGACATAGCCATGGAGTCTCTGAAAACAGAGAGGGCCAGCAGATGCACAAGGTCTCTCTTATCTACTCTACTGCCACGAGCTGTTGAGCTCCTGCATGTTTTGCTGACATTGAGCTGCTTCCAACCCACAAGACTTCAGCATCCTGACAGGAATAATACATTTGCAGAGAGTGTAGGTCTCACTCAGAGGTTTGGGACACCAAGATAAATTCACAGAAATGGCAGAAGGCGGTGGGATTTGCACTGAAGTTCATCAAGGTGTCCAACACGAGTATGGGCCCCACGGTTCCACTTAAGATTTGAAAATCCAAACCCATCAAAATTGGTGACAAAATCCACATCAGCTTGGAACCAGAATTCCCCCTACCAAATTTACAAAGCTGAGATACACAGAACAACAGTTTCATTGATGTTTAGATGAAGTAGCTATTGATTCCCATGTTGTGCACGTGGACTTTAGGATGAGAACAGAACTACCTGGCATAATTAGATCTGCAGGATTACAAGGTCATCTGTATGTTTCAGGAGGGTTCTACACAGTGCAGACAAAATGACTCCTGCTGTATGAGGCAGTCACAAGTGTTTTAACACAGTACCCCAGGCTTTGATCTCTGGACAACTCTTGCACTCCATCAGGCTTTAACAATCACTTTAGGGACAAATTCTGCTTTCACAATTTAAGAAAAAAATGAGCCTTGGAGTGCTTTGATTTTTATATTCACAGGAGGTAGATCAAACAGGTAATGAGCAGAGTTAGTATTTTGAATATCACAAATACCAAGGATTTAAAAGACACTGCAAAATAATGTTTTTTTTCAACCGTTCAGTGACAGCTTGAACATGTCTAACTGCGTGTGCTATTCAGGGATGCTTCCAAATAGGACCAGAGGTTTAGTGCAGACTCGGAATCTGCCTTTTCCTCCTATTATTACAGTTTTCAGATATGAGACCAGCTCGACAAGTAAAGCACCAGAATTCTAAATTCAGACAGAAACAAAAATAATTACTTGAATCACTTTAGGTTTGCTTTAAAAAAGTATCCATATTAAAAAGATGTCTTTACCTTATTAATACATTTACAGACTTTTGGCCAGAAGGGGTAATTCTGTGGAAAAGAATTGCAAAATAATATATAGAAAAACCGCAAAGATGAAACTCTAGATTTAAAAAGATGAGAGAATCCTATTTTCATTGCATTCCTCATTTTGCATCTCATTACCTTGTCAACTAGAGAGGACATTATACTATTCTGGCTACCAGGACTTATATCCCAGCAACCTTATCCCGAAATTGGTTTTCATAAGGAAAGCTCCTGCAGGCAGGTTTTTTATCACAGTTACACTGCCTCGGTTTTGATACTCTGTGGTGTAAAATTCCCTTCTAGTTCTTCTTCCTAGTTAAAGCTAGAAAGTGTAATGAAAACATGACCCAACCCAACTGGACTGATTGGCTTAACACTGTATGTCCACTATCCCATTGTGGCTCTCCATGGGCTCGGTCAGAACAGCATCTGGCTGGGCACTGGGGACCAGCCTGCCACAGTGAGACAATGTCAAGTGCCCTCTATTTGCATGTCTAAAGATCTCCCTACTGCATTGGTTTAGCTGCTTCTCCTTTACCTCTCCGCTCGGATTTTGTATCTGAGAACGAAATAGGCAATCAGGCGCAGAGAGAAGAAGAAAATTCCGAGAACAATGAAGTCCAGGTAAAGTTTGGCATTTTCTACATCCAGTTCTCTCAGGATGGCCTCTGATTTTTGAAAATGGCAAGTGTCGTCTTTGTCACAATGCAGATCTTCCCGATCCAGTCCATAGATGGAGAGAATAACTCCTTCGAACCCGTACCTGCAAAGAAGAAGGATGGATTACAAGGAAAAGTCCTGGTGATCTGTTCAGAAACACTCCAGCAACACAATCCCTGTGAGGGCTCAGCTGAAACACTGGGGGGTTCAATACCATTCTGACACACATGTCTTGGGGCAAAGTTCTATCCCTGTTACAATCAAGCACATGACACGTTATGTAAGATGGAACAAGGACATAAGTTGTGGCTTTAAATGCTTCAAATTAGTGTATAGCACAATTTCTCCACAGAAAAACATTAAAACAGAAAGCAGCCCAATTTCAGCTCATAGCCAGAAGTTTCCTTTTTAAATGTGACATCACTAATTTACTTTCCTTTTTAAATAAGCAACAAGGATACAATTATGGTTCGAAGTCAGAAATACTAACACCAGCATCAATCTGGAATGTGTCTTCTGTTTCCCTCCATGCACTGATGGTTCCACTAACAATGTTCTCACGTCTCCCCTGGCACTGGGTGCACCCAGCATTTGATTTTTCCAATCAGATAAGCCCATGATGGATCCCATGCACAAGATAGCTCCCTCCAGCTTCAGGAGCCCCAACATGGGCCTGAGGCCTCACCTTGAACTCTAGGTGTTAATTGGGGGGGGTGCAGTCTCGTTACCTTTGATAGGTGTCTGTGTAAGACCTCACTTGCCAAATGAGAGGGTATTTTTGCTTGGGTTTTCCCAGTAGTAGTGCAGTTTGGGCAGAGTGAGGAAGAGGGAGGTGAGAAAATTCACCCTTCCTAATTACAGCTGTAAACATTTCAGTGTCTAGTCTAAACTACCCATGCCAAGCTCCAGAGGTTTCCTGATGGGGATTGTCCCATCTTAGGATAGCTGTGTCAGACAGTGAGAGTGACAGACATAGATGGGATACAAGGTGCCTATGGATCTTAAAACACAAGTTTAAACTACAGGTGACACAAATCCCATGTCTCTTGTGGCAGCACTACTGGAAAACTCAAAACCAGGCCTTTATCCAACAAGTCTATCTAGGATACTGCAGTGATTTATACAATATTTTCTTCCAACATGAGGGGCTGGCATCAATTTCTCAGTTGGGGGTACTGTCCTCACTATTTCAAAAATCCAGTATTGCAAAATCCAGGAAGAATCCCACTGACTTCAAAGGGACTGACATGGACTTGTGGCCAATAACCTGCTCCTTTTTATTTTACAACACATGCAACATAAAATGCAGTGACATGATGTGGTTTACATCATATATATGTTTATACTCTTGAAAGAACATGCTGTGAACAGTCTCTCTGACACCCAAAATAACCAACCAACCAACCAGGCAAAGGCAGGCAAAGGAAAGCATTTCCAGATGGGAGGTTAAAGGCCTCCTTAGCAGTACCTGACATAGGAAATGTAGGACATCCACTGGAGGTATGTTGGGATGGTATCAAAGCTGACAAAAAACCCAGAGAAGAGAAGAACTGGGATGGCAGTAACTGGGCCCACAAATGTTGCCACCTGTGAAGAAAACAAATGGACAGTTTCTCATCATAAAGGGAGCGGAAAAAAATAAAAATTAACTTGCTTTTTTTTTTACTCTTGTGAGTAATGCTACTACCCTAAATTATCACAGTTCTGAATACAAGAAAATTACTGATTTCGTTTTTCTTATGAAATTTCTTTTGAGAAGGAGGTGCTGTTAGGGGAGGGAAAGGGGTCCCTCTTCTCTTCTTAAACCCTCCTACTCGTTGACAGCCCTGCTGTGCTGGGATCTGTCCTTCAAAGGACATAAACCCACCAAGGAGTTTACAGAGCCAGAGAGGCACTGGGATTCCTTTGCTTCTCTGGGTATAAGACCCCTCTGCTTAATATTGTCTTTTTTCCCCTCACTCTTCTCTAAGGACACACAGATTTCCTTCCTCACTAAATCCCACAAAAACAGTAGCTTCAACTGGTCCTAAAACACTGTGAAGAGGATAAGGAACATCTCCAGCTGGGTGGCTTTGGTGGGGATGACAGAGCTGGACCCAGCTCCAGCCTTTCCTCTCTATATTCCCTTGAGGGCAAAGACCCATGTAGGTATCTCTGGGAAGAGCAGAAGCACAGGGATCACACAACAGGGCTATGCTGGTCTCCACAGAGTGGGCACAGAGAGGGAATCAAGTCTTCTACTGCAGAAATCTCGATATCCTCAATGCATATTGAAGTCAGTATCATCTGTTATCACCAGCAGCCCAGAACAGCTCTGCTGTGGAATGGTCACCTCAGCACATCTCCTGCATCTCCTGACAAGAAGCAGAATGGAGTTACACAGCCAGCTTCCAGTCATGCCAACAGCTGCTTCTCTCCCTCCCTCTGCAGAAGTTTGGTTTCTGGGGAAGCCTTTTCCTACCTTGCCTCCTGCAACCCTTTTTGATGTGTATGAAGAACCCTCTCCTGAGATATTGATCCTACCTCCACTTTGTAGGGGCACAGAAGTGCACCAGTCCTGCAGTTTCCAGGACCTGGGATGAATAGGAAATGACAATCCCCTCAGGCAGGGGCAGGCACAGCCCCGTTCAGGTGGGGAAGGAACTTCAGAGCCTCACATGTTTAAGTTGATGCTAATGGGAAACATCAAGAGCTCCATCAGACCAAGACAACTTTTTGCCTGTCACCTCTCAACAAATATCTTGGGGACACAGCAGCAGCCACAGCAAGTAGTGTAAGGAGACAGCAGGGTTCCTGTGAGACCACAAAACACCATCAGTACCTGGAGGGATGTAGAGGCTGCACCTATGAGAAGGCCCAGGGACTGAGCCACCAGGGATGTCATGGTTCCCAAGGCTGCGAAGAGGACAAATCTGAGAGCATCAGATGGCTGTGAAGTCATCCAGTACACGATGCTGCAGTAAGCCACAGGAAACATGATCTGCAGGGAGATACACTCGGAGTTAGTCCACTAAAGCCAAACATTTGCTGTTACTCTGAGTAAGACAAAAACATGGGGAGTTCTAATTAACCCACAGGTCTCAGTCTTTCCATTACACGACATGGTTGAAGAGAGTCTGCCACAGACTGTGATATCTATCTTACTTGGGCATTAGAAAACAGATCCCACTCACTTACAGCCCTTCTAAACTCCCCTTCTGCAAAAAAAGCAGAGATGGTCATCTATTTATGAAAAGACTATTGGGTCAGGTCTCAGCTTTTGTGAAGTCCTGCACTCTTAAGGTGCTTCTGATTTGACCCTGAAGCTTCAGCAGACACATATGGACAGTTAGTTTGTCCACTATTCAGATGGATAAAATGCTAGTACTAATCTTCCTAGTAAGTGGGCTTGTCATGAACTTAAATGGTTCTTACTGTATTGAAGAGTAGAGCATATACCTGAAAAGGAACATCAGCCATGGTTTTGGCGAGGTAATAGGCTTTCAGGCTGTACCAGTAGTTCAGATGCTCTCTGAGAAACACTCCCATCTCAAGGGGAACTGCAGAGGACACAAATTATTAAGTTGGATTGCCAGTGTGCAGTATTGCTGCACATAACAGCACGGTTTATCCATATCTAATCCTGCACTGCTGCAGTCCCATGGTGGGACTGGAACTCTCAGGTCTCTGACAGAGCAGCAACAGTTCCAGTGACTTCTAATGAAATGTAAGAGGTCAGCCCTGAGAGTTGCTCACTGTTTAGACTACAGACCAGTCTACTCAGTTATCTGAACCTCACTTAAAGAGGATTTTTCAATTAAAAGTGATGTCAAAAACTTAAAGAACTTGGTTATTCCTTTTTGGTCTAACAGGGAATCCAAAGTAATAGCACTCCCAAAGGAAGTCCTCTGCTCCCAAGCAGCCCATACTGCAAGAGTTTGCTTCTGACACCACACGAATACGCTGATTTTATGGAGAAGTCACGACTCAGGAGTCCTAAAGAAATTATTACATCCTCCCCAAGACCAGTCACAAGCTCATCTCACTGGTTGAGATGCACTTGGCACAAGGGGAAATTCCAGCCCAGGACTGTGACAGTGAACTAACTGTCTGTGTTGAGAAACACTAACAAAAGCAGGGACAGAGAAGCGCCACCGGCCAAGCTTATCTCAGCTTGCAGCAGTGCCTCTGTGGGTGCAAGATTTATCCCAGCAGCTGTCTTAGAAGTAGAAGCACAAGTCAAATGTTCTCTTACACAAAACAGATTCATCCAAACACCCTCCCACCTTTCTGCAACTCCTTCCCCGTCGATGTAACAGAATTACTGGTACTCACAGGTGAGGACAGTTGGCATGAGCGCAGCAAACATGAGAAACAACATGGAAAAAAAGAGGAAGCCGGAGTTGCTGAGGACTTTTTTAGCTTCATTGCCAATGCCCAGGTAGAGCAACCCGATGAGCAGCCCGATGCCAATGTGTGAGGTGATACGCAGGTGTGTCAGGACCTACGAGCAAGGAAAGAGGGGTATTTCTGATCAGAGAGTCTGGGCTCAAAAACAGTGGCAACATGGCTGAAATCAGATATACAGGCTGCAGAAAAGGAGTACTTATGTCCAGAAGAACTTGCATAGAAATTGTAGAATGGTTTTGGTTGGAAGGGACCTTGAAAATCACCTGGTTCCAACCCCCCTGCCATGAAAAATGTTCATTTCCTACTGGCAAACTGGGCTTCAGCCAAGAAAAACTATGAGCTTCCCAGTTTCCATCCGACACATGAATATTTCTTCCAGTACATACAGGCAGAAACTGCAAATGCTGCAACCTGAAATCTTACTCTGACAATGTCACTGGCTCTCATTCATCAGGAGAAGGAGGCTTTCTCTTTGACTAAAATATAAATTTCCCAGGGCAGAAGAGAAGCAGAAAGGTATTTCAGGCTTGTATAGACCAAACTAACTTCACCAGGGATACATTAGCTTTCTGTGCCTTTCTGCAATACTGTATTGCTACAAGAGGCTTGGAAGAACAAAAGAAATAACAAAATCTGTAGCTGCAAGCCTTTAGAGTTGAGCAGGAAAAAAAAAAATCTTAAAAACAACAATGTTCTTCAATCTATGCATCAGAAAATAAGTTACAGTTTCCCATGATCTTAATTCATTAACTTAATGAATTCTTGTTGACAAATGCAAAGTAAATTGCAAATGTAAGTGTAAAACAGTGAGAGAGAACAAGTTATGGCAAAGAAACGTGCTGGCAAAACAACTAGGCACCCAAAACATTTACTGAACAGATGCAAACACTGCAGGGCTTGGGATTTTGATAGACGTTGTTTATTTTAAGAAAAAAGGTGGAAGATATGCTTCTTTTTTTCCCTTGGGAATGACGAATTTCATTATGACACTTAGTTCATCTTGATATTAAATGTATGAAAACAGAAATGTTCCCTTTTCAGAGAAGCAAAAGTTTTATCTCCCAGTTGTCTGTTTCTAAGAATAGACTTCAAGTATTAACTCTTTACATCACACTGAAGTTATTATTTCTGTCATCCTGAATTTTCTGGAAAACCTAATTCTGTGACACACTAGTACAACCTCTCATTCACTTTTCAGTAGGATTAATAGCTGTATAAGGAACCTGCCAGCACAAAGGGGATTTAAGCTTCAGGTTTTTAGGCCAGGTGCTTCTGAGTGCTGTGAAGAAAGCTGTTGTTCACAATGAAAATGGTACAGTTAACAGCAAGAGTGAAAGATCAGTCTCTTTCCTTTGAAATTCTGTGATAATCTTCATGGATGGGCTGTTGGACATGACCTTTGAGGAGTATTACAGTATCTCACACCCAACTGAATAGACCTTTTGGCTACAAACATTATTATAAAGGCAGTCTTACCGAATCCCTCATGATGGTGAGAAAAGTTCTTTTGAAGAGGATGCAGAACTGGGTTAGGCAGCTGGCAGAGAAGCTGTGGCAGCCTTCTGTGGAGGAGGAATCCTGCAGGAACACATCACAGGATAAACTTCTTTCCTTGCAGTACCTTGCTTAGTTCTCATTCACAAAACCCCACTCGCACCATCTGAATGTGCCCAGAAACCTCCGCTGGCCAAGGTTTTAAACTCCCTTCCTTCCCCTCCAGCCTCCAGCCATGTCCAGTAGTTGTGATGCACAAAATACCTCCTCAGAAGGCCGGTGCCAGAGGAAGGGGTTCAGCTCGTTCTCACCACCCACATCCCTCTTGTAGTCGGTGTCACAAATCCTCTCCCGCACGGCCCTGACCAGCCGGCTGTTCTGGTCCCCGTATTCGCCAGATGCCACTTCCATAACTGCAAGAAACAGAGCTTAAGTTGCTGGTTTGCACTGCTGACAAGCTACAAGCTTTGTTATTGATTCTGCAGCACTGACAGAAACAGAAGTTTGGCCTAGAGCAGGCCCTAAAGCGCCACATGCAAATTCCCACGTATACACACAACATTTAAATCATCTTTCTATAACTCTTCAGAGAGGTCTCTTCATCCTGGAAGTTAAATGAGCCATTTTAGAGGATAGTCCTGGTAATAAAAAAAATTACTAAAGTCTATTTTCATGGTCCTTACTGCTTCTTTGGAATTAAGAAACAACACTGATAATAAAACTCTCAGTGTTATTAACTCTACAATACCACAGTGGAATTGTTCAAGATTAAGAACAACAGAATACTGGAGCCATTTTGAAAAGCCACTAATTACTATGAAACACTAAAGAATATGCTTTATCTTTCATCTCCTGAACCTGGACTTCCACCAGAGAGAAATATTCACTAAATTGCACCACTAGATGGCATTCAAATTACTTAGGAAAAAAATCTGAATAATTTTATTTTGAATTTTGGTGTATATATGTACACGTGCACATAAGAATATATATACAAAAGTGTACCACACATCATGGTCCCCATTACCCTGAAGGTACTAATCTAACACAAACTAATTTAAATGAACTATTCAAATTGTCCTTACCAAAATCTGCTGGATTGTGGTAGGTTGGGCAATTCAAACCCAAATCTCTCAAGTAAGGGACTAGGTTTGTTACCTTCCCACGGTAAATGCATTGACCTTGACTTAAAACATAGAGCTGGAAAACAAGGCAAAGAAAAAGAAAAGGAAGAAAGAAAAACATGAAATAGTATCAAAATATTTGAACCTGTATGACACCAATACATGAACCTAATGATGTCTTCTTGTCCGTGGGGGAAGAACACCTTGGGAAGATTTGTCACCACTTGAAAGTAATTTCTGTACGAAATTATAACTAGTGGAAAATTAAATGCTTAAGGTTTGAGTTCTGCAAACATTCCCTCCAGGACTTAAAGCACATTAATATAGAAACACACTAATTCCAGCCTTAGACATATGCTGAAAATAGGCAAGAAACTGTAGAGTCAAGCCATTTAATTTCCATTTAATTATGGATATTTTGGGCTGGGAGATGAGGCTGGTGAATGCAGTAATGGAAAGAGAGGTGGGACAGTACAGCAACGGGAAACAGCTTGATTAGTCTTACTTTTAGCCATACTATTGGCTTTAAATAAACCTCCCTGGCAGACTGGCAATCTGCAAGAGCTCCTTCGCCTGTGGTGTAGTAGGTTTTCTCTCACCTCTCAGGGGTCTAATCTAAATCTCCTAACAAGACTAAAATAAATTTATATCTAGTCTAAACACACATGGTCCACATCCCATTGTTAAGTTGGAGAAAAGTTCTCCAACTGACTTCATTTCACTTATTATCATTTCATGTGAATAAACTCTTCTGAATCCACACCCATGTATCAAGGATGAGAATATCTACCAGCAACATTGCAGACATTGACATTAAATCTTTCCTGCTTTTATATTATTCCAATTTACTTTACTGACAGCCCTCTGCACAGGAGCAGTGGTGAGTGAAGGCATGATAATCACAAGCACAATAATCATGATTTCATAAACATACCAACAAGATTCTCTAAAAATATTACATGCAAATAATGGAAACAGGTAGACAGAAAGGAAAAAAACATATCCGAAAAGTATATTTTGCTCTTATTTAATTTCTTCATTTGATTTGTTGCCACAGACCAAAATTATTCACGTTTTCACTTAAAGAGTGTAGCCTTGAAAGTATAATTTACCTAAACCATGCATAGAGAGGAAGTTTGAGAATAATACCTGATCAAACAGCTCGAACAGTTTTGCACTGGGCTGGTGGATGGTGCAGATGATGGACCTGCCACCCTGGGCTAAAGCCTTCATCAGAGAGACAACCTGAAAACATGATGCACTGTCCAAGCCACTGAATAAAAAGAAAGAAGTTTGTTATCCACAGGTCCATAGGCAACACTCAAAACCAGCACGTGGATTTGCTGCTTGGCCTCTCATTATTATCCTTTTACAAATTTTCTCTGTAGCAGTTTAATTTTATCATATGCCAACCTTATGCTTGTATTTCTCCATCGGTCTTTTAATTAAGTTGGAAGCATGCCTGAGAATGAAAAACAGAGTATTCTCAAAGCTGCCTTAAGGGACTTCTTACATTTTAAGACTGCAGATTTAAATTCTCCCAACTTTAATGAATAGATACATATTTATAGCTTTCCCAGCCTCCTCAAAGACTGATCACATTCATTACTAAGAGTCACATCTTAAAATGTTTATATTCAAGCTACCTTTGCTTGAAAAAGAAAATCCGTGCCACAATCTGAAAACATTTTCCTCTCTCCCTTCCTGCTTCAGCTTGTGTCTCCTTTAAATATTATTTATAGTCCCATGGTCTGGCAGTTACAGCAGTGACCCAAGGCACTAAGCACCCAAATCAAATTATTTCTTGTGGCCTTATTCAGTGCTTACAGGCAACACAAAATGAGCCTTTTCCAAGGACTTAGAGGTGAATAGCTTTTCTGTAGGGCTGTTCTGCTATATAAACCAATATTTGTCTTTCTTTAATTTCTGGCCTTGAAGTACCTGGTTGGTTCATCAAAAAACATGACAGGGGGGTTGTTCACCAGCTCCAAAGCAATGGCAAGACGCTTTCTCTGGCCTCCAGAAAGGCTCCCAGTCCTCGTGTTGGCACAGGTCAGCAAACCGAGGGCTGTCAGTATTTCCTTTACCTGCAGGAAACAAAACACTCCAAGTTGTCAGCACAAAAAAAAAAAAAAAAAAAGCCTCTTTACTGATCTTCATGCAGATTGTAAACTAGCTCATAACTTTGTTTCATCATCCATGCACCGAAGCCTTTTCCCATCTAATGTAGCATTTATTAGTTTCAGTGGGGCTTAACAAATCTATCATTTACTATTTCGACCCAAATTCTACCTGTTTGTCCTACATGACCTCACTACTCAGTAGAGAAGCCTTGCCTGTGAAAATGGAGTGGAAATCAGTTCTCCTACTGCTGTATATATATATGGATATGGCACTGACATCAAAAGAGCTGTGCAGCATGTGAGGGGTTATTACACAGAGAGACCAAGAAGTTTCTTTCAACAGAACTTCTGGGTTGTATCTACAAGAGACTGGAGAGCTGCATAACAAAAGTCAGTGGTTTCTATAGAGCAATGACCTGCTTTATCTAATCTGTTCTTTTCTTCACAGTCTACTCTTTGAAGTGCAGCCATTGATTTTAAGTGTTTTCATGCTCCCCGGAGTCAATTCAGTTGTCACAGGTACTCTCAGATGTTCGGGATTTCCTAAAGGCACAGTCCCAGGAAGGGCACAGCCTGTCCCAGGGTCTTTGGAGCAAAAGGAGAACAATCCCAGACACTATGAATTTTTCTGTTTCAGTGACTGTAGATCTGGCCTGGCAGAGCTGTATAAGAAAAGCAGTTCTCTGGCAGCAGTAAAAGCATGGACATAAAAAATGAGTGAATCCAAGGTACACTGCTCATGCAATCGAAAAAGTGAACCACTTCAAAGGTAGGAAGCAAAACCGGGCATTTAACATTACATTTAAGTATAGGAAAAGGAGCCCATCATTTTGAAAGTGATAATTGCTTGGATGGGGGGAGTTTACCAGAAAGGGTGGCTGACATGCTAAAAAATGGTCTTTGTTTGTCCTGATTTTAATTTCCAGGAGTTACCTCTCTCAGTGAGAGAGAGTGAAAAAAGAACACAACCCACTAACTCTTGTTCTCAGAGAGGAGATCGCAACTACCTCATTCCCTTTATCTCTAGGAAAGATGCCACAGGACATGGGCAGGACAAGTTAGGCCAACTAGAAACATAAACTATGGTTCGCTGGAGGATTTTTCACTTGTCCCTGTTTTAAACAAGTAATCCTGCTAGCACAAGTGCATAAAATTCATAATGTTCATCTACAATAAATATTTACACTAAAATTTACAACAATAAAATGAATTATCTAGTCCAGCTCAGCCAGTAACACTAACCAGAAAATGTCCTTCTAACATGTGTTGAATAAACACATACAGCACAGTTTTTTTACTCACAGAGTTCTTTGCAATTACAGTGACAGTGTAAACAAGTGAATTAACTTGCTTGGCCTAACTTACTAAAGTGTAAATGACTTAAGACTTTCAAAGTACAAATAAAAATCAACAGTTGTTTCTGAAAAATTTTTCCCAATGAAAAATCTGTGTCCAGTTTATTTAAAAAAAAAAAAGTATTTGACAGAATCCAATCAATCTTGAGCTATCAAGATTCCTGTTAAGTTTCCCTCTGTGGAGCTCTTTCCGATTTTCAAGGATTCTCTGAGTCTGGAGAAATGTCAATTGCTCCAATTTGGAAATAAATACAGACAGAGGACAGCCACAAAAATAGCTGCTCTACCTAGGAAGTCGACACAGTTTTCACATTTCAGGAAAAGCGTGCACTTTTCCCCATGGATGGTTGAGAGGAGCACACTTCCTAGTGCAGGTCCAGCTGGGTTACAGGTCTCCATGGGCAAAAACATACCAGGACTCCTCTCCCCCTCAGGAAAGCCCTATGTCAGCAGGAGGCAGAAGCAGGGCAGTGCAGCAAATGTGCAGCTCATTCACATGGTTTAGGAAATACATGTGCATGTTTTAGCCTGGTTTTCTGCTTGTCCAACCCGCAGTCACCCAACGCAGCTCCAAAATACATTAGTTGCAACTGCATTAACTTGCCCAGTGCAACAACATGCCCACCAGCACAGCCATAAAGATCTGCTCTTTCAGCCATGAGCACAGAAATTTCTGTAGCAGTTACAAGAACTGCTGAGTTTTTTATCAGTCCTTGGAAAAATTAAGGGCTACACTCACCATTGCCACACGTGACTGATGTATCTCACCACACACGAGATGCCTGAGCCCTCAGACACACACATAAGAGAACCCAAGGTGCTAAGGTACATTAGAAGGAATCCTTCAAAACCTGTACATTTATTTCAGTAAATCTTCTACAATTTTCCAGTCTCATACTGAAAGCAACTTTCATGGAGGCTGCAGTTAACAATCCCTCCTAATGACACCTGTCAACTTCGAGGTTGTGATTCATTCTGTCATCACAAATCCAGTGCAATTCTATGTCAGATAAAAATGTCTGCTTTACAGAGCTCACTTCACGGCCTTGGCATCCCCCAAAATTCTAAGTTTGATGGACAGTGTACATACCATTTCTCTTCTCCCTTCATCTTTCTCTTGAAGTTTCAGATGAGCAGATACCTGGAATGCAAAACCAATGCAATTGGATTTTGAACCGGTCTGAAGCACAACCACCAGTTACAGCAGATGTCTCAGGCACAACATCCCAATGTCTAACTTAAACAACTTCTTTAAACCCATTCAGCAAATCTGAAGTTGAACTATAATGTTCAAATCACAAGCATCACATATGCCTGTGCACTAACTGAGTGTAATTTGACTTAATCAATCCCTGGAGCACCTGACAAAAAACATATTAGAAAGGCCACTCTGACAGTCAAAGAGCTTGAGAAGATGAAAGAGTCATGTTTTTTGCACAGCCAGTAAATTCTCAGGCAACACTGGAAAAAACCAGTTTATTTGTGCTTCATCCATATCACAAGGATAACTGAACTCTGCCATTCTCTAGGATGCAAACAAACAAGCACAGAAATAAATAATCTTGTGAAAGATGTCATCTGTTGTCCTGAGAGGCAGCTCCACAAAACATCATGATTAACCTTTATTAAAAGCAATTAAACTGCTAGGTAATTATTTTTGTCAGAGCCTTGATTGATTAATTTAGACAGCAAGTATAATCTGGGCCCAATTCTATGAAAGTGGTCCTGTGGGATTCTGACTACAATGCTCAAGTAAATAAAAGAGAAGAAAAACTTCATCACAGAAAAGAACTTTTGTAGAAAAATTAGCTACAAAAAAAACTACAATGATTTTTTTTTTCTGGCCTTAAAATTTGTGAATTGATGCCAGCATACAGTGTGAGCATCCTTAGCCTTGCATTGGTAACAATCTCAGAGAAAAACTGGCTCATTTCTCAGGCTGAGTAACAGGCAATTCTAGACTAACTGGTCAAGTTGGCAATTTGCAAACTTCTTGATGCCATGAAAAAGAGTAAGAAGAATTTATGTTGCCTGTATGTGTTGGAATTATTCTGTTCCTGTTGTTTTCCCACGAAGAAATGAAAGAGATTTTATACAATGCCTTTATTAAAGAAAAGGTACAAAAGAGTAGAAAGCACAGAGAGACCATGCTAAAGTAAAATAACAATTAGCAGTCAGAACATGGAAGATGGGGAGAAAGAGAGATACAAGGTTACTCATCAGGTAAGAACAGATCATCCCTACGAAGATGCGTTTGTGAAGAATTTCAGGTTCCGTTCTCTAGGAGGTCTGAGAAGAGCCTTAGATCTTCTTCTAAATCACAATGCTGGTCACAAATTGAAAATCAAAAAGCTAAAAAGCTCACACAACCCTTAGAAGAACGAGCCTGAAGCGGAATTCAAGGCAACACTAAAGTCCAAGCACTTTCACCGAGCAGGATCAAACATAGACGACGGGTTGTGGCGTTGCCAGGAGTGAGAACACGTGCACAATACACAGAGATTTTTTTTTTCCATTTTCTCCTGCTCAGATAAATTAGAACAAGAAAAAAAACCTCACCATCATAGCTTCCTGGACGGTCAGGTGAGGAAGGAGCATGTCATCCTGCATGATGTAGCAGGAGACTTTGCGGAAAGAGCGCAGGTCCCGGGGCTGCCCATTGATGAGGATTTCTCCTTTCATTCCCGTCTCTCTGAAACCAACCAAGAAAACAACCAGAGGTGAATCCTGCCTTCCCTTGTGCTGCCAGAGGCCTCAGTGTGTGGAAGTCTTAGCTAATTATTGCCACCATGAAATAAAGCCGATGCAGTGGCTAGAAATCATTTCATTTCCTGATGGTGCTCTCTTTCATACAAGGCTTCTTGCAATGCTGCTGAAAATTTTACTCAAGGTTAGTACAAAATGTGTGCTGCCCTATATCAGTGCCTAAAAAAAATATCAAAACATTAAAAATAGGGGGTTTTTTTAGGTTTCTCTATCCTGTTCCTTATGCCCCAAATGACAACAACACGGAGACACTTTGCTTTTGGCCATATAGGAGGGGATTCAGGAGGGTGAATCACTTCAGTCATTGCAGTTTGGTCAAGAAGACATCAACACTATGAAGTGGTGACTAAAGAGAGTAATTTCTTCAAGTGTTTATAAAATGTGATTTAAAAACCACCACAAACATAAGACACTGAGTCAGATTTGTTACACAGCCAAAAAGGAGATTTTTAATTTTTTTTTTGTGTGTGTGTGTGTGTGTGTTTTGGGTTTTAAATTGCTTCTTATTTTTGGATCTCACTTGCTAAGAGATAAATTCCCAAGGGAACAGAATGGGATGAACAGAAACAATATAAGCAGTAAGAATCTAATCCAAAATCTGTGAAACACCTATTTTCTACAAACACTGGGGTAATATTTCCTCTGCTTATCTGAACTTGGGATTTTCAATGTTACCCACCTGTATCCTGCCAGAATGTTCATAAGCGTTGACTTCCCAGCTCCTGAAGGACCCATAATTGCAACAAGTTCTCCACTGCTGAACTTCCCTGAAATTCCTTTCAAAAGGGTCTTATAACCTGGAAGAAGAAAGAAAAGTTCACCAATCACGTGAACAATCACGTCTGGGGAGCAATGACAGTTCATTTCCACTGAATGCTGGTGACAAACAGGCATTAGCAGGCACCTGCTGAGAGGTTGATGCCTGAGATCAGCACACTGCAAGAACTGTCAAAAATATCTATCAAAAGCCAAATTATGAGTGGGAGCAGCAGACTCCTCCTGCAACACAAGTAGTATGGTGGGATTACAGGATCACAGGCTCTTGGTTCACTCCAGGAAGACTTTCAAACAGGGCTATGAAACCTTGCTGCCATTTTCTAAGTGCTTTCTCACAATATTTTACTAGAATGCTGTGAAAATATCTAATATTCCAAAGCTAACATAACTCCAGAGCCTTGGAGCAGACTGCCCTCCAACCACTGCAGCTTCAATACCAAAATTCTTCACCAAAACATCAACTTCTTAGAGAAAGCAATAGCCAAGACCTCAAAGGCAAAGCCCTTTGCCTTTGTTCATTCCCCACTAAAAGAGGTATGACAAGAAATGCAGCAAAAGGAGACACACAAGCCTGTTTCAATATCTTACCACAAGGACCCTCTTATCCTAAGAACTCCAAAAGCTTGTCTAGACAGGGAGACTGACCACAGTAACTCTGTAAAAACAACTCCTAGGGAAATATTTACTCTGGATTAAGAACACACAGGTTTTTTCCTCATTTAAATTAATCCGCTCCAGAACGTCATGCCACGATAATTACATCCTCAGGCAAAGATGTTCTAGGACAACACCTCCTTCAACTTATCCCTGAGTGAATTGCCTTTGTCAATAAACCTTTATTTAAAGCCTAAACTCTGTGTTGCTCTAGGTGTAAGCAAACTGGGCTCCAGTGAGAATTCCAGATTTGGACTAGTTGCATCCACCTTGCCCTGCATGATTCCCATGTTAAGGCATAAGAATTCTGTGGGGAAGGTGGAGAGAGCCCTGACCAGCATTTAAATTTTTCAGGAACTCTTCCCCTTTTATTTTTTTTGCTTGCTTACTTCATTTTAATTACAAGTGCTTTTAGTGAAAACTTTTAATAATAAAAGAAAAGAGTTAAGTAAGGTGTCAAAAAACAACCTCCAATGCTGAAAATGTTCCTGTAGTTAAATTAAAACCGAAACAGAAGGGTGGAAAATCCATTTACATGCAGTGTTAGGATTTGACAATGCATTTTGTCACACTGGTGCATATGCAGGCAGAATTTATATTTCACATGTAAACTATCCCAGTCCTTTGATTATCTCTAGCACAGGTTGTAGCTGGAACATTGAAATGCTGTAAAAAAAACCAAAACAACCTCATTGTCTGCAAGTTCCTAGAAAAAAGAATGGTGGATTATCTTCTTCTGGTTTATCTTTCTTAACTCCATGATTTGTTTTCCTTTTATCTCCACTTAGCATTCTCTTCAAATATTCTTCTTTTCTCTAGCCTGAGCTTGTACTCCTTCCATGCCACAGAGAGCAAATTTTGCACTAAAAACATTGTCATGCTGCCATGGGGTCTCCCAAATCCACAGCAAATACCCTTCCTTGAGCATCCCCCAGCCCAGGGGGGAAACAGGAGCCACAGAAACTCTCTAGAAATATCTGATTCTTCTGTTTTCATGGCAAATGTCTTAGAAAAAATAACTGACTAAATGTCTCAAAATAGCCATTTTCTTGAGTGCCTTTTTTTAAACAGGTCAGTAATTTTTCACTATAAATCCTCTCCTGGACCCAAAGAAAACAACTTGTTTGGAAGCTACGAGGTAGGACGGGTATGAAAATAGCAGTGCACTCATGTTGCCTGTTCACGGCACAAGTTCTAAGAACAAAAGCAAGGACAGTCTATCAAAAGGAACAGCTATTTCAAAGAGAGAAATTCATGGCACCCTGGCAAGGCCAACAGGCTTGTCCTTCACACCAATGTCACCATCCAAATCAGCATCTGAAGGGCAAGTGCAAGGACAGGCCAGACCTTTCAGGCATGACAATATTTAATAAATAGGATCTAGAGAGACAAAGTCCTTCATTCTATCCCACTCGTTACAGAGAACCAGCTCCCTCCCAAGCCTATTATTAAACCTGTAAAGGACTCAAACATTAGACTGTACCTCCAATTATTTGTATTATGCACCCACCCATCATGCACACAGGTTATGTGCAGCTGGGAAAGTTTCTCACACTGGTCACAAGCTGGTCAAGGTGCCTTGTCTTGAGCTTCCACTGGGACAGGATTTCTTTCACCAGGTCCCACACGCAGTGCACGGGTTAGGCGTCTGTCTCTATTCCCTGTCTGCCCTGCAAAGCTGTTTAACATGACAGAACATCTCATGCCAACTTCACTACAACAATTTCTATTGCATGGGTTTGTTCTGACCCATATTTACAGGGGAAAGGGTTCTTGTCAGAGTTCTGTAGTGGTCAGATCACCATGAGTTTCAAGATCAGGACAGTAAATATTTCACAAACTTAACAGGGAGGATAAAAACGTGTACTGCCATAAATGAGGAAGGTGCCACCTAAAAAACACACTCATTGCCTGAAAATGTGTAGTAATGTATATACCATGTCCTAAAACTGAAACCTTTCCTCTCACTACATATGACTGTGAGATTTAACATCACATATATTAAACTCATGTTTCCAAACATAATCTCACAAATGATGATCAGTCTACCTTTAATTGTAGTATCTTCCCCCTCATGACCTGCTCTTGTTTCTGCCCCTCTGATGCAGGTTTCCATTTTAAGAATCCTGCACACAACATTAAATCAGAGCAGGGCACATCACAGAATCTCAGAATAGGGTTGAAACAGAACTCCAGGATCATCAAGTCCAAGCTTTTGACTGATCACCACCCTGTCAACTAGACCAGGGCACTAAGTACCACATCCAGTCATTCCTTGAACACCTCCATGGATGGTGACTCCACCACCCCCCAGGGTAGCCCATTCCAATGCCTGACAGCCTTTTCTGTGGAGAAATTCTTCCTAAAATTCTCTGCAAGTCATTTGCAATACAGTAGAAAAACATGCTTTAAGAAGAAATGGAAAAAAAAAAATTATGAATTTTAGATTAGGATCCCAATCATTGGCATTTTAAGTTGCTACAAACTCAAACCCGTCTCTTCTTTTGACTGGAAGCGCATAAAAAGCTTTTCTATTACAAAGGTTAATTTAGCAAACCCACAGAAAGATTTGACACTGTGGCAGTAGTGTGGTGCCCAGTATAATCCTTTATAAGGAATTAAAGTCCCTAAGTAACTACAGTCTTCTCTTTCAGAATATCGAGGCTAATCTTTAACAGAATCAGTTGACCTAAAACTTCTATATCAGGCCACATGTCTTTCACGAGAAACAGATTATGCATTTGAAGGGGATTGCATTCTTACAGTACAGGGACTGTTTCATGTCCATCTGCCATATATTAGGAATTTCTGGCTACCTTTGATTCTGGACCACCTCGTTTTCCTTGGTTCATGATCCATGCAGGAAGGAGTTTAAGTAACACAGAGTTTAGTGAAAGGTTGAATCTCAAAGCCAACTCACCCCAAAGTGGAAGCACCTTACAGGCCATTCAGTTCCAGCACCACAGCAGCTGTTTCCCTTTGGACTGGACTTACATCAAGAGCAAGTTTAGCATCTTGACTTTCAGTTATTTCTCTTAAAACTGTTTTGATTTCCAGTGGAAAATTTAATCTTTCAATTTTCCAATGTCCCTTCCTGAAGTTATTGTGACATCACCATTAAAAATATATTTAGGGGCTGATAACCCTTGGGAATCCAAATACAAGTTTTCAAGAACTGCTTAAAATACAGATTCATTAACAGGACATTAACACACCATCACCAATCAGAGCAAGTACTTTGAAACTTTCTCGGTCCAACACACTAAAAATTGAATACAAAAGTAAGAAATCAAACCCTAAACAGAAAATTGGAGTGATGCAAAATGTTTTGGTCTTAATTTAACCACACTTTGCATTCCAGAGTTCAAGGTTTTGCTTCTCCTGAGAAGCAAAATGTGTGGCTTTTTTCTCATGTTGGGATTTCCCATGAAGGTAATGTGAGACACTGTGATATTAGATCATATTTTCAGCCAGAAGCACCTGACTGGCCTGACCAGACCCCCCCATTCAGGAGGTGGGTTTCCCTCTCTGCCTGGCAGCACCACAAAACCCACAGGTAGCCCCTTCTTCAACGAGCAGAGGGTGACCTCGTGTCTCTGATGAAGATGCTCCCATTGCTCAGGTCTACAAAGCTTTTGCTAATGGATTCAGCAAGAGAGAAGCGTGTTGATGGTTTTATTTGCTACCTCCTGGATTTTATCAAGATTTATAGGGAGATCCGGTTTTCCCATTCTCAGAGAAACTATAAACAACCTGGAAAGAATCAAGCAAACCACCCCCTCCTCATCCTCAGGGTAGGAGCATATGCTTCAGAATGTGTATGAGTCAGCACCAACAAAAACATAACCAAAACTCACTCCTACCTGACAGTGAATTTCCTCAGGTAAACACTGCCTCTAGGTTTTTGACTGAAGTGCTTCATTCATTTGCATTTCATTGCCAGCAACATACTCATTTGTTACTCAGAGAAATGTCACACAGACTCCTAGAAGTTTCTGGGCTTTGTAGCCTAATTCTGCATCCATCAGTAGGCACCAAGGGCCCGTCTCAGGTCCCGGGTGAGCACAGCAGGCTTTCCCTGCTTGCTGCAATTAGAGCAGTGTTTGCCCTTCCCGATGTATTTGAACTGCTTCTCTTTCATCACAAGCTTTTCTGAAGGCAGGAAATCACCGCTGTTGCCCTGCAAGTGCCACTGGCCTGAAACAGCTCGAAGGCTTCTCAGAAAATTTACTATAGCAATAGGTAACATAGGAAATTTCAACTCAAAAAGTCCACGTTTGGCAAAACTATAAACAACTGAAAACTGAGCCACAAAGAAATCAGCATTTGGTATTTAAAAATCAAAATCAGCGACGTCATAGCCTGC